ATTCATGTGCAAGTGCCGTGCTCTGATTCACACGCGCATGAGAGAGAGAGAGAGAGAGAGAGAGAGAGAGAGAGAGAGAGAGAGAGAGAGAGAGAGAGAGAGAGAGAGCTGCTTCATCTCTGAATCTTGTGTAGTAAGAACAAGTCCAGATTCAGAAGAAACCTCCAGTGGATGGGGGCGCCCGCTGGGTGGGAGTGGACCGAGTGGGCTGGCAGCACCTGAGTGCTGCAGGCCTGGGTAGCGCCATTCGGCTTTTCCAACTTCCAGGCCCTGCCACCCTGGCACCCGTGCCTCTTCATTTTTCCCTAACTACTGGTCCTTCGCATGCCCCACCCCTTGCTAAGCCCTCAAAGGCTCAAACAAAAATGTCCACCCTCCTACGTTGAACGTTGAAGTGACATTGAAAGCTTCCAGGGGCATAAAAAGCAACCCTGATGGGCTGCAAACTCTCCGAAAAATAGGAGAGTGCACGGAGAGCGGAGAACTCTCCGAATTCGTGATTCTTGGTTCACTGCTGCACTGTCTCTCCTCTCCACTCTCCGTTGAAGTGACGTTGAAAGCTTCCAGGGGCATAAAACGCAACCCTGACGGGCTGCAAACTCTCCGAAAAATAGGAGAGTGTACGGAGAGCGGAGAACTCTCCGGATTAGCAGACACGATGACAGCACTGGAGGACACGGGTGATCTGCATTTTGTCCGCCCAGACTCCAGGCACACTCTCCGAATTCGGAGCAACTTGAGTGTTGGGTGGAGGTCCATCCGAAAAACCACAGTTGCAGGCTGGCACTCTCCACCAGCGGAGAGTGCTTTTGGATGAAGGTTTCTGACGGTTATCCGAGGGTTTTTGGAGGGTGGAATCAGATAGTTAATGCAGCGATGAAAAATTATCCGAATTTGGAGGATGGAGAGTAGTGCAGCGAGACCCCATGCCGCTCTCATAAGTCATTTCTTTCACGGTGTCTGCAAAGTGTGAATGCTCCGCATCCAGTAGCTACCGTTCTTACACGGTTACAGCTGCCACTCTTCTGTTGACCTAAGTATGATAGGCCCTCTTGGCCCCTCTCTCCGTATTCATCAATGTTCACGAGTGTCATGTGTAATTAATCTTTGAGATTGCACGTGTGGATTTCAGGTTTTTTTTTCTTTTGAGAAATGTGACAATTTTATTGCTTCAAAGTTCAAAGGACACCAAAAGGGGTCGGGAAAACCCCACGACCAACCTGGTGACGAAAGAAGAATACTGGGGCCACTACCCCGCTTCGGCTACTTGAAACCGGGTCTAGCGTCCCTTCGAGAACTCAGTGCCCAACAGACAAGAAAAAGGAGTAACCTTTGGCTCGTATCCATGGCGAGAAGATCCTAACCGTTTGATGAGTCCACAAGCTAAGTTTGGGCTAGGCCGCTCCATGTATCCTGTCGGGGACAACAACCATGGGCAGAACACTACTCTGCCTTCAGGACCCAACTTTACTCAAGCTGAATCCCTCCCCCATGTACTATTCCAAAAACCGTTGTCCGGCTGAGCACCACCATCCTAATTTAGAATGTCACCGTATTCTTGATGGCTATCTCTGACGTGTAGATCCTTTGAACAACTGGTCATAATATTGCGATCATCCCAGGTCACCTTTATCATGATGACCCTTGTAGTCTGTCCAATGTGGGTCCAGTCTTTCTCTTCTTTTTTGTTCTCCTGATGACATTGATGAGTACCGGAGATGAGTCATCTGCCTATTTGAACGCACCTTGTCTGCATTTGTTTCAGTGTTTGATCCACCAGTCTCATATCCGTCTGGATGCTGGACAGGCCAGCCACAGATCTCTGTTGTTTTTCCATACCCACTAAGTCTTGCTTCTGACACACTTTATAGAGCTTTCCGTTCCCCTATTTGCCAGGTGACAAGGTCTACCTCAGTTGCTGTAGCCAGAAGGTCTG